CTACAAATGTCGCTATCAATGTGAAACATCTTACCACGATCGTTGGAAAATTTAATAACGGTTTTTTATCAGAAAGCCAAAACTCACGCAACCACGAGGAAGCCAAAAGTCACACAACACGTACCCCTTAAGTTTGGCCTGTTGGCGATTGTCTCCGGTCAGTGGACCTTGTCCAAGGATTCTCCCACGGGATCGCCTTGTACATGGATCGTCGAAGATATTGGAAGCACACACTGATTCAACGGGAACACCTCGGCTTACATGATTGCTCCTCAAACCATAGTTACCTCTCAGCTTAAAGGAGTGGGAGATTGAGGGACTACAACTCGACAAAAACAAAATCAACAAAGCTCACACTGAACATGACAAAATGTCTTACGCGCTTTCACATCGACACCTATCGGTTAAAAGTATATGGGCTCAGGCTCGTGACTCACATATTTATATGAACTCAAGCTTGGACTCACATATTTATATTTATACAAGCAACCCAACAACTACTGAACTATCCACCTCGGTTGTATCCCTAGGCTCACGAGTCATGAGTCACATGTTTATAGTTATACAAGCAACCCAACAACTACTTAACTATCCACCTCAGTTGTGATCTTTGGTCAAACGACTACCAACAACAACGAAGGTTACAAGAAACAACCAAAACAAAATACAAGCACATTGGCCCAACATTGGTCCGTACAAACCTTCGGCCTGGATACCTCAACCTATCCTAGTCTGGGCACAAAATTACTTGAGGCTAAGGAACAACATGGACGATGGTGCAATCACCTCATCCCCGAGGTCCACAAACTCAACAGATTACCGACGAAGAACGCGTTACATTATGGCACAAGCGGGGCTCTCGCCCATAGAGTAGCTAACACGTGTATGCGCATTTAGTGCACCTAAAATTTATTACTATTATAAATACCCTCATTGGGGTAGATCCATATAAACAGTTGTGAAATCATTAATATGATATATTTATCAATCTAACTCTTAACTCTCTCTTTTCTCTACAATATTACTAACAGTTTTCCGGTGTATCATCACACGGATAATAAAAACTGATCACATTGACAATCGTTAATATATTCATATTTTGGTTACACAAACAATTGGTGAATTTTGGCATGAAAAACAATGTTTGTGAGCGCAAATAAGTGTTGTCTGTCCACATTTGACCACCATCTATATCAACAAGCAATTTCATATGCTAGTAGATGTAGAGTATGTTTAGCAACATTTCTAACAAACTCTAAATTTTGACATTGCACAAGGAAGGGTTGAATTGATTGAGATTATTGTAGAACAGTATTTTAATTATTTTCCATATGATCTTCTCATTTTTTTAGTAATAAAATCTATTTTAAATATAATTTCCTAATTCAAATGATTCAATTAATTTTGTCCTTTAATTAACACTTCATCCATTTGAGTAGATTTCGCTAATTCAGTAGTATCAAAGGGGTTTCTAGTGTGTTGAAGAGTTGAAGTGTCTTGAATTGATAAAAGTGTATAGTCCCTTTGTCTCTATTTTATCTTCAAACATTTTGTTTTTGTCTGTCCCGAAATTATCTCATCTTTCCCTTTTTGACAATGAATTTGTGATTCACAACAATTGTTAGAACATCTCCATTCATGATCTCTAAATTTACGATTTTTTATAATTTATTAACTTCTACCCAACCATGATATCTATTTGATGGAGTATATGGGTCCAAGCCCCCGGACCCACATACTCGGAAGAGCAGAAAACACAAGACAGCAGAGTGGCGCCCTCGTCGGCCAAGACGCCCCGTCGGCCGAAAAGGGGCCAACTCGGATTATGGTCCTGAGTCCAAGGAACCCAGGTGCCCTCGTCGGCCGTGCCCTCGTCGGCCACGCCCTCGTCGGCCACGAAGACCTCACAGAACCGGATTTTATACTTACTCATTTGTACAGCCCATTAGTGGCTTTGTATTCGGCCCAGTAGCGGTCCAGTTGTAGATGGGCCTCCCAAGCCCAAGGCTTGGGAGCCCAACCCTAATTTTCTCTATAAATACTCCCTTTGGGAGTAGTTATAGGGGTTACAAAATCATTCTATTGAAGCATATTATTGCACTTCTCTCTCTAGCTCTCACTTCTCTCTAGATATACTCTATCACTATTTATCAAGATTTTTATGGGACATACATGTAAATTCATAATCTCTCACTTAAATTCACTCACACACTCACAAACACTCTATGTACACCATTATATATATACTCCCTCCGTCCCGTTGGAATGTTCTCGGTTTGACCTACACACATATTAAGGAAATAAACTTACCAGATGGTAAATTTTACTGTTTCGACACTGTTTGACACTGTTTTGCACTATTTGACCCTGTTTTGATGTAGGATATCTTTCCATTTAGGGAAATGAGAACTTTCCAACGGGACATCCAAAAAAGGAAAGCGGGAACATTCCAACAGGACGGAGGGAGTATATATATATGTGTGTGTGTGTGTTTACTTAGTGACACAAACAAACAAACAAACAAACAAACAAACAAACAAATAAATAAATAAATAAATAATATACGTACTTAATTGTATGGCTATTGGCTAATATATACTTCGTATAATATATATTTTATTTTAATCTATAACATTTTAATGAATTTATTTAAAAGACATGAAGGCATGAAGCTTTCATGTATGTACTAAGTACTAGTGGTATACTCCGTATATTTGCAGCTGTAGAAACTATGTAAAGAATTTCATGAGTCGCACATAAAAAGCTGTGTAACTATGTTATCAAATTTGAAAGGAAGAACCTTACATTTTTGGAATAATCTTGAATAATCCAGGTTTTGATATTTGATACCAGATTTTTCTATAAAATAATTTCTTCAAATAATCTCAAAATCTCAATCATGATCTCAAAAAATATCATCCACGTCATCAAAATGATCCCTAAATAAACATATGAATGGGGATATTCTTACACATTCTTATATATTTATCTCTCCTCTACACAATTTTTCATCACATAATATTCATTATCTTAATTTGTGCGTCGGTTAAAGGAGTTTTTATAAGCACATAGGGAGTACAAGATATACAAGTAAGTCTTTACTCTTTAGTAGACGACGAATCTTTATTTATACAATTACACCACGTATTTATATTTATATTTACAAGTATTAACCCTTAGTAGGAGTAAAATAAGTCCAAAATTCAACAATAGGAGTACAATCCTTTTATTCGCAAAATAGGACTAGTATATGTCTCTTCTCCCCATTCTACCCCTTCCTATCATTTCCAATAGATTTATTTTATTAATAAGAAAATCAAAGTTTTATTTATAATTAAAATATAAAAAATAATAAAATATTTATAAAATAATAATAAAAACGTGAAAAAAATAAAAATAAAAAAAAATAATAAATAATAAATATATTTTTTTATTTTTTTTTGAAAAAGTCCAAAAAATAAAATAAAATACCTAAAAAAAATAAAAAAAATGTAGGTTACTGCCAACACGTCCTCTACCTCCCAGCACCACCGACTCTGGTCACTGGAAAAAAATACCATCTTGTGTAAAAAATGTCACATTTCTATGAAAATGCCATAAATATGGCATTTTTACTTTTTGAAAATATCCAGTTTTCTCTTGCTTTCTCTTCAAAATTGCCATCATGATGACATTTTTTCCCCAACTTTGCAATCTTTTCCGGCGACCGGAGGTGGCGGTGCTGGAAGGTGGCTGAGGTGGTGTTTGAGGTCTATATATTTTTTAATTTTTTTTACGGTTTTTATTTTTTTTATTTTGAATTTTTTATATTTTATAATGATTGTTTCAAAATCCTATTATCAAGGACAAAAGAAAGGGTATAATAGGAAGAGTTAGTCCTATTTTGGGAATTTAAACTTTAAGCTCATATTGTTGCAATTATCCTTCTATTTACTCATATTTAGATAAATCTCCCATATATTTATATATACTCCGTATACCGGTGGGCATAGCTCAACTGGTAGCGATGGAGTGCCACAAGAGTTAGGTCCCGTGTTCGAATCCCGACAACTGTGATGAGGGGCTATGCCAAAATGCATAGGGCTGCAAGTACCGGGGACAAAATCTCACTCTCTATCTGTCAAATAGGGATTACAGTTCAATTTATATCCTCGCAACGTACCGCCCGGTCGATGTTGGGGGCTTAGTGGCTTACACTCCCATAATCCTGAACTCTATGAACTACCCTCCAAAGCCCCTAGACAGTTAAATCCAGATCTGATCAGAGTCAGCCTCGTCAGTACTGGCTCCAAAGGACGAATCCAGCAGGACATACATCACCTTTCAGGTTGCTCCTCCCACCATACGAACCCGCTACCTTCATTACCATCCTCTCTCTTCTCAGTCGCTGAGCAACTCCGTGAAGGTAGGAAGAATCATTGGGAGCAAGACCTCCCTCATCTTCCCTTGGTGGGAATTGAACCCAAGACCTCCCACAAAGGAGAGACTTGGGGATGGATGGTCATCCATCCTAGGGATGGACTGGGCCGGGCCGAACCGGCCCGGAACCGAAGGGGCTCGCTACTTTGCGGGCCCGGACCGGACCGGGACCGGTTGGCCGGTTCCGGGCTTTTAGCCCGTTTGGGCGGGTCAGGCGAGCCGGGCTCGGGCCCAGTTTTGGGCGAACCGGCCCGGACGGTTCGGGCCGGGCCTGGGTCTTTTTTTTTGTTTTTTCAATTTTTTTTCTTATCCGAGGCTAGGGCTGGGCGTTTTGGGGAGGTTTGGGGGTGGGGGTGAGGAAGGGGGGGGGTCGGGGGATAACAAGAAAGCACAAAAAAAATAGACATTGAACCGGGCCCGGCTCGGCCCGGACCCGGTATCAACCCGGGCCGGTTCCGGGCCCATGGATTTGTAAAAAAAAGCTCGCCCAGGCCCGGCCCGGAACCGGACCGGCCCGGGTCCATCCCTAACTACACCCACCTTCCCTTTTTTATATATACTCCGTATGACATAAAGAAGAACTCCGTATTAAAGTGATGCTATAAAGTATACGGCGTATTATTACAGTTATTATAAAAATGTGACGTTGCTGATCTTCAAGATTCTGATCTGATAGATATATCTTTGTCTCCTCCAATCTCCCTCCTTTCTCTTTATTTCCCCCCACTTTCAAAGATTGTATCTTTGGCGTATCTCTTCCCTATTTTTTATTATCATTAACTCCCACCAACAGAATATCTTTCTCACCTCCCACCTCTCTCACATCTATATATATTTCTTCTCTGCTCTTTTATTCACCATTTCCATTTTGACTAACTCACAACCATAACAACTCTCTCTGATCTGCACTCAAAAATGTCTTCCTCCTCCTCATCCTCTTCTTCATCAGATCAACCAAAGTTCCATGTCCTAGCTGTTGATGATAGCATCATTGATCGAAAGCTCATCGAAAGGCTCCTCAAAACCTGCTCTTATCAAGGTATATACAATATATCTGGTTTTTGTTTGATTGAGGTGAAATTGAATTCAATGGATTAGTTGTTGCGGAGTAGAAATCAATCGTGAATGAGGAAATTAAAGCGATTAACTACATTGATTTTGAAACAATTGTAGTGTAAATGATTTACGATTACAGAGATCTGATTTTATTGTTCCGTGAAATTGATGTTCACAGTGACGGTGGTTGAATCTGGAATAAAAGCGATGGAGTTTCTGGGAGAGAAGATAGACGAAGTGAATTTGATAATAACAGACTACAGCATGCCTGGAATGACAGGGTATGAGTTGTTGAGGAAGGTGAAAGGCTGTTCTTCGCTGAAGGACATCCCGGTGGTGATTATGTCGTCGGAGGATCTTCCTTCCCGGATCGACATGTGTCTGGAGGACGGCGCGGAGGAGTTCTTCGTCAAGCCAGTCCGCCAATCGGACGTTAACAGGCTCAGATCTCACCTTCTGCGGCCTAAATCTGCGCCGGCATCTTCTCCTCCGACTTCATTGATCAGTCGGAAAAGAAAAGCGGCCGCCGTAGCCGGCGTGGAAGAACATTATGGCTTTCCATCGCCATCCCCGGCAATGAAGCTCAGCAGAATATGAGTGGAGTGGGTTAGATTTTGTGGACCATTCAAATCCACCAGAAAGGAGTGGGTGGACGAATTGGGTTCATCTGACAGGTGGTGGGCCGGGCCGGTCTCAACATAATCAGAAATCACGAGATGCTTAAGAATCAAGATCGTCTATGAGCAGCCCACGACAGTCATAATATAGATTTATAATTCTGGAATTTTTTAAATTATTATGGATTGAGTTATACGAAGTACTTAATTACATATGTGTATGATGCTTTAGACTTGGAATACTTTTTGAAATGATTTTTAGGGAATGTAGTTAAATTAATACGGAGTACTTTGTATTGGATCGTAAATTAATGAACCAATCAGCTTCCTAATTATATGCGTATTTGATCATGTTTATAGCGTCATCGGTCACTAATGAATGATCAATTTTCTTAGTGCGTTAGCGGATTCAGTTGAGAACTGGATGCAATTTTTAGTCACGATTCATGTACTAGAATTTTTTGACACTAAAACAACTTGAGTCGGTTAAAATGAATCAATTTGGATGAACTTACCAAATGATGATAATTGTATTTGTAGTTCATATATAAAAATATATGATATGAATATATGATGAAATGACCCTCTAATTCGACACAAAAGTAATCAAAATTTTACATATTTTAATGAACACGCAATTCAATGCACGAAATATTATGTTGACTCGTAAAATTGTTAAGTTAAGAATATGAATCACCAAACGGGTTCTAACGTGAACCCATCTTGAAATGATCATTCTAAATCATTTTCATTTGGCCAAAAACAACATCACGGACTAGGCATTAGTTTGAATTTTGAAATTAATATTGAGGAGTAATAAAAAAACTTTGCACAAAAAAACAATAAACATTTTAGATATTCTTGAGATTTGAATCACTTGATGTATGAAAAGCTAACTTTTTCTAACGAAATTAGATGCTGTGTACAGACAATTTAATCGACGTTTTATGAAGAAAATTGATTTCGACGTTTCATAAAATGTTTGTAATACAGACAATTTTAAACGAGAATTTTAGAATGTCTGTGATATAGACAAATTTTTTATTTTTGTTCGTCTGTAAATCAGTTTTCTCCATAAAACGTTGATCAAATTGTCTGTACCCAGACGATTTGACCGTGTAAAAAGTGGCATGTTTATAAAGGGGATTTTCCAAACTAAAAAATACGGAGTATAAATGTAAAGCTAAACTGTATTGAAATCTTTATTCAATTTGAATATAATAAATTAATATACTACTAACTTGTACGGAGTAGTATATACGAGTACTATATACTACGGAGTACGTCTTTGAATTATGTTGTTTTTTTATTTGCTTATTATAAGTACGTATTATTTTGTCCTTAAACAGAGTCGTAGTTCAAACATTTTCGTCCCCAAAGAGTCCCGATTAATAAATGATGAAGTGACATTGCATGTAAATTTTCAAAGGAGCCACGTACAAAGTTGTAAACTAATAAAAAAAACACAAAACACGTTCTTTAAGTTTTATTTTGAAAAATGGAACTTCAAGGACAATATAACTTTTTTCAATAATTATGAAAAACAAAAAATGGAACTTCAAGAACAAAGACAACGATGGAAGCAAGAAACAAAAAAGGCAAATACCGAGTAATGAGTCAGAAAATCAACCAAAACGTACAAAAACAATTGATAAGTTAAAGTAAAAACATTGAGCCAAAAATGTCAAATTAGTCCACATACTATTTTGAAAAAATCAATTTTATTCATGTACTCCCTTCGTTCTAATTTGTTTTGCAAAAATTCTTATTTTAGTTGTCCCAAAATGATTTTCCACTTTCTATTTTAGATATGTAAATAAAAGTAAGTGACAAATTTACTTTTACTTTTACTTTTTTCCCATAAATTTAAAAGCATCTACTTTTAGGATGAAGGACAAAAGTGTAAAAAGCAAACATCATTTGTTATTATTCATCAATTCTTATGCCGATCAAAGTTTACAACTCAATTTGGGACGGAAGGAGTACTATTTTATCAATCAATTGAGTACACAAAGTCTCAAATTTCAATCAATTTTGCAATTTGACCGGTAAACAACCAGACCCGTTTTTTGTTGCTCACTAAGATCGGTGGATGTCGATTAATCTTTTTCATACTTTTTCCTTTTTTTCCTTTCTTTTACCTTTTAATTTTGAGAGAATTCCCTAAATAGGAGTAAAAAAGTTTTGAAATTCCAAATAGGAGTATCATGTTTTTTATTTCGTGAATAAGAGTAAATTTCTGCCAAGTTTGATATTACTAGGCTTTAAAACATGACATTTTTTTCCAAACTTGTCAGATTACTCCTATTCAAGGAATAAAAAATATGATACTCCTATTTTAGAATTTGAAAACGTTTTTGCTCCTATTTAGAGCAATTTCTATTTAATTTTCTTTCTTCTTCGTTGTATACCTCTAGTTCGTCGCCCCCATCCCACAATTCAACCGCCGCCTGCAACTCCCTCTCCCCTGTTCTTCAATCTCTTCTTTCTTCTCCACTGCTTCTACCCCACGCCCCAGCCAATTCACCCCCCCCCCCCCCCCCCCCCCTCCCTTCATTCTTGCAATCTTGCCCACCCTCTTCTCCTTTCCCTTTTCTTTCCTTTTCCTCTTCCTTTTACTCTTCTTCTCTGCTCCACTTCTTCTACTCCGGCTAGTCCAGAGTCGTGCCTTATGTAAGGCTGGAAAGGCTTGAGCCTCGGGGTCCCCAAAATTTGTAAAAATCAGGGTCCCAAAATTTTATACTCCATATATTAGTATTATACATATGTATTTTCTAGTTATTTTTTATTTTTCCTCTTGGACAATTCGACTTCTATTTCTAGGCTTCTTCTATTTCTAGGCTTCATGTTCTATAGTTAATTCTATCGGTCTATGTTTTTCATTTGCTTATTTAGTTATTTGTTTGTATTTTCAAAAATTTCCTAATTTTATATTGATTTGCTAAATGCTATTGTGATTTATAATTAATTTGTCATGTGTGAATGTCAAATGGGCTAACTTGTAATTTTTTTTAATACTAGTCGATTCTTGCTTGTTTTTTTATTTAGTGTTATCAATATTGCAAATATAGAATTCTCAATTCACAATTAATTAAATTAAATGTTTTGTAATTTATAGAGAAAGTTACTAATATATATTGTTAGGGATTCCACTAAATCATGCATTTTTTAGTACCTTAACACCCAAATCTTTGTCTCGATTTCAAGAGGAAAAGAAAATCACGTATTGAATACATAGTACATAGTACTTCATTTCGAATAAAAGAGCCACTAGAGAGTATCTTCAACCATGTCTCAAAAAAGATTGAATGCATTAGCTATATGATCAATTGAGAAGGAATTCATTGATAACATAGATCATGCAGACTTGATTAATACATTTGCGTCTAAAATGTTCGACGAGTTGTACTTAATTAGTTTTTTTATTAAAGTAGTTTTTAATAAATTCAATGTCATTTTTGCTATAATGTAAGACTTTAATTTAATAATTGCGTATTTGCGTTTTTGTGATATTTAATCATTGAATTTTAATGAATCTATATGACAAAAAAACATTATGTATAGGGTCCATTTATGAAGCTCGACTCAGGCCCGAGTTAAGGTAGGATCGACACTTCCGGTCACTCAACCTTCTACCCCCTTCTTTCATGCCTAGAGTAGGAAACCTGACAGAAACCCGACGAAAACCCTTACTCTTCTTCGATGGCAACCAGACAGCGACGGAGAAGAAGGCGGCAGAGCTCCAAGGGGTTTGCGGCACAGATTGACGGCGGTAGAAAGATGGAGACGTAGAGAAGGGAAGAAGCTGGGAAAAAAGAGAAGAGGAAATGGGGGAGAAAGATGAAGACTTACAGAGAAGAAGATTTTTTTTTAAAGGAAAAGGAGGCTCTAATGCCACATGGACGGTTAAATGTTGTGTAGGATGATCCATGTAGGCAGATACCAGGGAAACCGGTCAATTACCCGATAAAAGGTAAATTTGGCCATTTATTGTAACTTGGTAGACTTAATTGATTAAAAAATAGTATGTGGACTCCACTTTTTCGAAATAGTAGATGGACTGATTTGACAGTTTTCCCAAAGATCAATCAAATGAATCTATTAAATGGAGATCATATATTTCCCAAAAGACTTAATATAAGAATATACTTCATCCTCTCCCAACTAGTTTATGAAGGAGTAATGTGCAATTTATAATTTTTTTGATTTATAACCTTTTTAATCGCATGAAGTTCACACACAAAACTGTTTTGAGAAGGAATTGTATAGTGTAATTTTAGTCAAATTATGGGTGCAAACTGCAGTTAGTGCGTAGATATGATAAGCTCGCAAACACAAGTTTCAAAAGAGATAAGAGTCAAATAAGACCTTTTACTATTATGAAATAGTCACCTCTGTTTATTTAACACCTCATAATCACGATTTTAGCTTACATGTCGATTTTTTTGACTTGTATTTCAATCAATATTAGCTAATATTCGACATGTACCGTGTAATGTGTTATAAAAAGATAGTCAAAAGTACGTTGAAACCGAGATTAAGAGGTGTTAAATAGGTTATTAGGACTCATTTGATTGCCTTTTACAAGTAAAGGTACTTATATGACACTTTATTGAGTACATGACCTTATGTGACTATTTCATAATAGTAGAAGGTCTTCTTTGATCCTTTTCTCGTTTCAAAATAATACTCCATATAGAATAGTGTGTAGAATTCCAAACAATTGAAGGTATAAAGATATTTTCAAGTAAACATCATGGCTTCAAAGTAAATAGTTTGAGCTCTTGTATTCCCTCCCCCTGGAACCCCTCTCCCGACCCTCAGGGGTGCCCCCGCCCAAAAAAAAGACAAAATATGTGTAAATATATCCTTGATCTTTAACTTTATCTCCTGATATGCCCCTAAAAGGTATATTCATATTATAGAACTCAAGATGAATTTCGATTAGGTTATTGGATTTTCACTACATGAACTTTTATTTTTAGATAGTACGAATGACTGAACAAACGAGATTGAAGTAGATGATTCTCTCTGATGGTATGGTGAAAAAACGAAATATCATTGGAATTTGAAATTTTGAATAGAATAGATTCAACTATCGAATATTGAAGTCGGTCATCCCACGTTTATCTTTTTTTTTTTTTATCGTATCCCACGCTTATCTAATTGTTTAATTTATAATTTACTAAATGAAATTTATAAAAACCACTTGTATGCCATATATTAATTGTATCAAGTATTCACACCACACCTAAGAATAAGAATATCATTAATATTAATGTACATTGTTTCTTTAATTCAACTAAGCATGGACCAAATCCAACGTTTGTGATCAGGTAGACTTCAATGCCACGATCTTCAGCAGAATTCTCCTTTCTCAAGCACCGCCACTACTCCAACAGTCCCCTAATTTCTTTCATTTCGTTTTTTCCCATCAAATCACCACATTTCCTTTTCAACGGCTTTCTTTTTCCTGAAAAAAAGAAAAGAAAACAAAATACTTTTTCCCTCGTCCTCTTCCTTTTTCGTTTTGCCCTGCCTCAGATCACCTGGGTCCGCCAAAATCCTCTCTGCAATACTTTCCGTACGTTCCGCCACCACCGTCACGCTTCCTCCGCCTCCATTTGAACGTTGACATTCGCGATTGGATATTTAGATAACAGATACGGAGTAATTTGAACGTTCTCCGCGCGTAATCATGGCGTTTAGGGATAAAAACGAATCTCAGAAGAATCCGAAGATGAAGCCCGCTTCGTATTTCAACCGATCATTGACGATGCATCACGGCCGCACCGCCCTTGAATCGTTCGGTTTCTCCGGGAAGCCCCCGGTCGAACGGATCGGCTCGTTTAAAAAGCTCTACGGCCCTTCCGCGTTTGAATCGATCGTATCCGTCACCGGGAAGGTGAAGAAGCTTTGCTCCCTCTTCGATACGCAGAAATTATCCAGCCGCTTGTCCAATTTACTACCCCTTCAGCAACAATCTCCGTCAGGCACCGTCGCGAAACCCTCGGATTCCGAATCTGGCGATTCTCTGTACCGGCTGCAGGGGACGGAGGACAGAGTGGTCATCTACCTCACGAGCCTGAGAGGAATCCGACGGACGTTCGAGGATTGCTACACGGCGAGAATGATCCTGAAGAGCTTCCGAGTGAAGGTGGACGAGAGGGACATTTCCATGGACAACGCGTACCGGACAGAGCTGCAGAGCGTGTTAGGGCAGAAGGATGTGAGTCTGCCGCAGATATTCATCAGAGGGAAGTATATCGGCGGTGCGGAAGTGGTAAAGCAGATGAACGAAGTCGGCGAGCTGGTGAAACTGCTCAGGGGCCTGCCGACGCGGCCGCCAGGACGCGGCGGCGCCTGTGATGGTTGCGGAGATGCGCGCTTTTTCCCCTGCACGAATTGCAACGGGAGTAAGAAACTGTTCGATGAGGAGGAACGACAAGTGAGGAGGTGCCACGTGTGCAACGAGAACGGGCTGGTTCGCTGCCCTTTCTGCTGTTATTGACTGCCCGGATTTTTACTCTGATCGGTGATTCTCATGGTCCGTACTCTTTGCACGTTTAACTATGTATATACGGAGTATCTATTTTGTAAGTATGAAGGATTTGTGATGACCAATGGGACGTATACAGTATTTTGAGGAGATTATGATTTATGGCGATGTCAAAAGTTCATTGATTGAGGTAATAAAGCCCAATTTTAAAGTTCCCTGTCTAACAATTTGATTGTTTTCCTGTTCACACAAGTGGGTGAGGGCTTATTTTGTTTCCAATCCAAAAGTTGGAATTGCTCATCCGAGAGGTCCGCCCTTGACCCGACAGGGTAGTGGAGGAGTAAGTTAGTCCTACACTGTCGTTGTCGTGAATTGAATCTGAGACCTCAATTCAACAATCTCACTCAGCTACTCTTGAAATACTCGAAAGGGTTAGGACTTATTTTGTTTCTAAATATACTAGCTTGACCATTATCAGAATTATTAAGCCAACTATCACACTTCAATTTTGATTCTTGTTCATTTCATATGGGATATGGAGTTCAACGTTTTGAAAATTAAGGGTCTCTTTTTTTGAAAAACACTTACTTCTCCAACTTATTGGAACACGTCTCATTTTTGGATTTTGGAGAATAAACACGTGAACACGTTTTTAGATTTCATTGCTTTAATTTTTCAGTTTTTTGAAAAAATAAAAAATAGTCATATGAATAACGTCCTCTAAATATTTGAGTTTGGAACATGTAAGTTCGTTCCGGTACATAGAGATGAGTTTGAGTGTGTACGACCCGAGCGAGTCTAACTAGTCTTCCCATAATGTACAATAGAACTATCATTGTATCGGCGAATTTGGATCCTCTCCATTAATCGAGAGTTCCATTATGAGAAAGAGAGATAGAGAGGAGAAAATTAAGAGTGAGGTATGTTGGTGAAAAGAATAGAGAAAAAAGTAGAGATAGATAGGAAGTAAAAAAGAAATAGAGGAAAAATGGAGAGAAAAAAATGGAAAGGAGCTGCACCCTGTATCGACATTCTTCCAAAATGCTTGTTCTATTGGGGCTTTCATGTAGTTTAAGAAAGTGTTTGTGAGTGTGAGAAAAAAAGAGAATTTTTGAGTGATGCGCCTTTTAAAGATGTAATTTACGGAGTACCATTTTGTATTGTAAGTTCATTTTTTTATGCAAGTGAGATAAATATTTTAAAATAACAGAGAAAAAGGTTTGATAGATATATGTGAGGATAACTAATGTCTAATGTATATAATAGATATACGAAGTACATGAATGTTTAACAAATATTTCGTTTATACATAACAGTATTCAGACCTATATATTTGATTGAAATTTGTACATATATCACTAAATAAAGCATAGACAACATAATTTATATAAAAAAACTGTATTACTAGAATACTAGTATCATTTCCCCCTCCATGGCTCCCTACTCTTTTGTACCAAAACACATCACTTAAGGTTAGCCATACCTCTAAATAACATTAAGTCATGCATATTAGCAAAAATGTGAGACCAAAGGTAGTATAAGTTCAAGAAAGTTACAAAAGATGATCCAAAAAGTTGAATCTTCTACCGAGGAACCTCTCCCCATCCAGTTCCACAGAATAAGAAGTTGGGTAAATATAAAAATTGTACATCCTTTTTGCAAACAAAACTGTACATTAATCCATATTAATTGGCATTTTTATGGTTTCGGACTTTATTTAATGATAGAAATTAGACACTTGATGGAAATTAAAAAAATTTGTGGACTATAACTTAATATTTGGTCACATTTAAGCTAAAATATAGAAGCGATTCATTTAACCAAGTTATGTAAAACCATGTTGAAATGAATAGGAATGTGTCTCCCAAGAAGCCCCCAAGAGCTAATTTCGAGTAGGATATTTTTCAGAACGAAAAACTTGAGCAAATTAAAGTTGAAGACTTTTTATAAGTCAACCTTGGCAATTGGATTGGGGCCCAAGGGCACCCAAGTATTGTAATGACGGAAGTGTTGGAAATACACTTTTAGTGGAAACAACGTAATTTAATTTAACACGAACAAATCAAACCAATTGTTCTAATATTTCCAGGACCTTCATTTTGTTGAAGAATCGAGTTTATTAAAATAATATATGGATCCATAGCCAAAATTGTAGGAGGAAGGGAACACCATAGATGGTGCCTGGCTCTTCTTCAATTGAACCGTCTTGAAGTCTTAATCTCTTTTTCGACGGGGAGAAGAGAAAGTGAATGATCGTTTTATATGTTGGGGATCATAGCCTAGATATAGTGTGTTAGGTTTAGCTAGGGTTCTCATTAAACCCTGAAAAGTAACACGGGCCTCTTCCCACTTATTGGCTCATACGATTTACTTAATAGTATTGGGTTTAACTAATTTTGATAACACAAAACTCAATTATAATAAATAGTTAATACAATAAGGGAAAGTTCCCGAAATAAGACTAAAACAGTTTCAAAATTTCAAAATATGATTGTCATGTTTTTTATTCCCAAAATAAGACTAATTACTGCCATGTTTAGAAAATACTGCCATGTTTGAAGTGTGGTACTGTCAAAACATGACAGTAATTAGTCCTATTTTGGGAAAAACATGTCCGACCTATTTTGGAATTTTCAAACTATTTTAGTCATATTTTGGATAATATCTCATTCAATAATCATAATATTAACACATACTCCCTCCGTCCCTGTTTTATCTCCCATTTCGGCTGGGCACACTTATTAAGATAGTGGATTTTGTATGGTGGAGAGTTGTGCAGAGGAGAGAGAAATGTGTAAGAATATGTAAGAATGATCGTGAACCACAAATTCTTTATCAAAAAGGGAAGGAAGAGATAATTTTGGGACGGACGAAGAAGGAAAGTTTGAAGATAATTCAGGGACGGAGGGAGTATTAATTAGAAAGAATCGCATAATTATTACTTCTCAGCTTTGATTGGACAAATATAAAATTCATGTGGACAAAAAAGGCAGTAAAAATATGTGAACTGACTTAAATGTCCTTGGCCAACTGTCTGTCTTACCTTCGTCCCAGGCTTCCTCCGTTCAATCATTTCTTCAGATCTGCGCATCCTCCTCTTTCTCCACCAGCCCAGCGCCTCCACCAATCCGGCACCACCAATCCGTTGCTCGGCCGAAGATAGAAAAGTTCACCGCCTCCACCAGCCGATGCCGCTCTCGCCTCCGATCCACGCGGTTCTCTTCTTCTCCATTTTCTTCGCCGGTAAACGGATCTCGTTGTGAAGGCTATGACGGCGAAGATGGGCAGAATCTATATTAATAGACGAATAGAGGCTTAGATATGGGTTTGGGAGGCGGAAATGGTGGGCGGAGCCTAAGGTTTGGTCCGTGGGGCAGCGTTGGGCGACGGTTGGGTCACGACAATGGGAGGTGGGAAGGGCGGGTGGTGGTGATGCATTTACAATGGTGAGAGGGTGGAGAACTGATGGTGGTGTGAAGGTGACACAGTGGCGGTGGTGTAACGGTGGGACAGTGGCGGTGATGTGGGGGTACATTGCGGTGGTGTGGGGATGGGCAGTGGCGGTAGTGTGGGGATGGGGAGTGACGCAGGCGGGCAGCGGCGGCGTCACTGTGGCGGCATTACCATGACGGTGTCACTATGACGGTGTAATTGGCGTGAACAAATTAGATGTTGACCACTCAAAGTGACTTTAAAAAACGAACACAACGACATAATTTTTTTGCTAATTCCAAATATATGACTTTGTTAATGGTTTTTTTTGTCAATTTTTAAAAGTATTCACATTTTTTAATTTAGTTCAATTTAGTAATATTAAGGGAAAAAGCCCTATTAATTATTGAAATAAAATATTTCAACAGGAACATTCACATGTGATAAGCGTGAAATTAAATATTGCCTGCGTCGTTGCCGTTTTGTTGGATTCACATGCTCATATCGCTTTTAAGATGATGTTGGAGTTAATTATCTTTATAGGACTAAAAGTATAACCATTTGCACAAATAGAACTAAAAAACTAAACTATGTTTCATAGGACTTAAAATCACCTAGTTGTACAAAAATGTCCCCATTCACCTTTTATTTGAATTTATAATTAAAATTGTAAAATTACAATGTGATGAACCCTAAAATTTCAACACGAGCACTTCAGCCACCCGCGCCGCCAACGCCTGTAGCCGCCATCGCAAGCGCTTCCGTCATCATCATCGCCACCGCTGCCATCATTGCCGTCGCCGCCCACACCGTCGTCGCCCCAACCAACGTTATAATCCTCTGCCGCCGCCCACTCCGATCGCCGTTGCTGCTTGTTAGAAAAACCACCATGAGACTCGGATCTAGAGGCTACCACTGCAACTCCAAGCACCGACACCACCTTCACAACACACTAATGTCATAAATCTGTCATTATGTAGGCAGATTTGTCCTTCAAGATTAATTTAAATCTGCCATTCGTATGAATCTTAAATCTGCCAACAAAGTTGGCACATTGGTCTTGGAAGAATAATACAAAATTGCCATAAATTTGGCAAACATATGAACTCAATAACCAAATATTTGAAAAATACTTTTTCAAAAGAATAAAAACTAATACAATCGGAAATAACAAATACGAAACTAATGACAAAAAAAATTAAAAAATCGATTTACACAAAATCCATTCTGCCATAATCGATCGTCAATATTCACATTTCTGTCATAAATTTGGCAAAATCTTATGCCATCATCCAAAATCACACAAAATCAGATTTTTTAAAAATTCACAAATCTGAATCAGAAATACCTAATAGACATCAAAAAACCAGCCAAATGAATGTCAAATCTCAAAAAACAGAAGAATAAGAGGAAAATCTGAAGTATAAATGTTGAAACGCATAAGGAGGAGGAGGAGGAGGAAGAAGAAGAAGAAGAAGATGATGAGAAGAAGAAGAAAAAGAAGAAGAAGAAGAAGAAGAAGATGGAGGAGGAGGAAACCTGGCCAAACAGCGGTTGCGTGTGGTGGAGTCGGCGGCGGGCTAAGCTAAGGATGAAATCGACGATGGAGTACGAACTATATGGTGAAGTTGATCGATTTGAGTGCAGAGATTGAGTACTCGATCGATCTGTTGTGCAGAAAAAATCCATTGAGAAAAAAAAACATTGAGTAGAAGGGGAGAGGGAGGATGGTGTGCAGGAGAGAAGGAGAGAAGATGTGTGTAGAAGAGACGCTTGATCGGTTGAAGGGAGGGTAACAATGGAATGAAAAAATAGATATGTTTTAAAATAGGAGTGATATGGTCCAATTTAATAATAAAAACATAACAAGTCCTATTTTTTTTACCCTACTTTTACTCCTATTTGGAGTAATTTCTAATTTTGTTTATTTTTTGCCCCATTATTTTTTTGAATTTTGGGCCAATAAAGTTGTGGTAGAACAAAAATAACTTTTGTTTTTATAAGAAAGCTCACCACCTTCCTTAAATAGGCCAGTCTGTTTTAGCTAGAATTCTATAAAATCCCATGTCTACATGCGTTTAGAACCATCTGAAATCGTTCCTTTAAACTCTTTCTTCTTCTTTCACATAAAACCATCACATTTTTTTTGTTTGCCATTTCCCTTCGAGAATGATTAACCATTCTATTGTAGGAGAAGTTTGTTACGTGTCTAGTGTGTAAATTTGTCTTAAGGAGACAACAATTTGTTGGACTCGGTTTTATCAAAGTGTTTCCTTTTATATGTTTTCGTTTGCATGCATTCATAGAATGACAAATTATCAGTCCGTTTAATGACTCTGTTTTCGGCTTATCAGATTTATCAACTAATTTTTTCACAAAAATGTAACTTTTGAATTTGCGCGCTAAATTGTACTACGTATAATAATAAGAAAAAGTAAGACTGTAGTTACTTTTCTGGTTATATTGGCTTAAGTTACTATAGATGATTATTTTAGTTACTTTCCGTACGAGTATATTATTTTATTTTATTAAGAAAAAATACTTAAATATATTTTTTTCATAAATTATCATAATCAACCAATCCAAACACTTCAGCCATAACTTCATAAATTTTAACACAATCGATCGATTTAATCAATTTCAATGTTACCAAACATGCTCTCTATGTGATACTCTTATAACAGTAAAATTAACTCCTTTAATAATATTTCAAAAGTTTTGAACTTTAAAGTTTAAGGTTCTCACTACTTATGCTTACCTTAATTAATGAAATCATAGTTAGTTAAATACGGTACGGGAACTAAACGTGATTTAATACGTACGTGTTTTATTCGGTAACATTAATAAATAACGGTCAAAATTTCGGCAAAAAATACGTTGACTATTATAAAACATGTAAATACGTATACGTGTATAATACGGCATCTCTTAGAAAAATTCGGGTTAAAAATACGGGTCTTATTTGGAATGATTAAAGGGAGAACTATCAAATAAGCCCTCGAACTTTCATAAAAAGTGCAAATAAGCCCTTTTAGAGGAAGCTTTGTCCGAATGTCGCCATTTGGGGCGGTTTCCGGTGGAATTGTTTGATGAAATTTTTTGAGCAACTTCTTAATTAAGTCTAGTCTACCCATACCAAATTTAAGCTAAAAATTCAATGGAGAAGGCAGTCAAATGGTTTTCTGAAATATAATGCGTTGTCTAACTGCGCAGTTATCTTTGAAAAATCATTTGATTGCCTTCCCGATTGAAGTTTTAGCTGAAATTTGGTATGAATAAACTAGTCTTAAAGAACAATATACTCAAAAAATGTGATAAAAAAACTCCACCGGAAACCGGCCCAAATGGTGACGGCCAAACAGCGACATTCGGACAAAGCTTCCTATAAAAGGGCTTATTTGCACTTTTTATGAAAGTTCGAGGGTTTATTTGATAGTTCTCCCATGATTAAATTATTGTACTAGTTTTTAGAGCATAAAAAACATATAATACATAAAGGATAATCAACATACACACATTCAAATATAATATCTCATTACTCCATCAAAAAATGCATTCATAATAGCATAAGCTCATGACAAAAAAATAATGATCAAGTCCAAAAAAACATTTAAAGTATATATTTCATAAAATAACATATAATAAAAAGAAATAAGAGTGTACACATATTGAGCATCAAATCACATTACTACATAAAATAATAATTAATTCGTAATTGCATAAGTCGATGACAAAAGTAAAAATAGTACGGAGTAATTAAGTCCAAGACATAATTTTGCAAAGTATATCAAAAAATAAGGCATAATAGCGATAGAATGAGGCCAAGTTAATATCATCATCATCTTTATATGATCATCAAATGACACTCACGTTAAACTCATCATTTTCACCTAGATGACGGATGACATGAGAAAGTTGTGCGACTGTTGCACTTATTATTGTTTATGTGTAAAAGTTTATACTAAAAAATGTCAGGTTTAGAAAAACCTTAATTTTGATATGTTTGTTTGGAAAAGAACACCACAAATCTAATACGTAGTAGTATTTTAGATTTTAGTCTTTTAGGATGCTAGCTTTAGTCATCATGCAATTAATTTTAGTATTTAACAATTGTATATTTTGTATTGTAACAATACAAAAACACGGGGTCATGGGGATGGAGTTTTCTTTTTTTCTTTTAAACTATTGTTGATCTCATATTCATTTGATGTATTCATTCAAGTGATCAAATGATGTTTCTATTTTTTGTAAAATACGGGAAATATACGTTTTATACGGGAAGTGAAAGTTTTTTTTACCTTTTTAATCAGACCAACATTATTTTTCGTTTTAAACGCGTTTTCTTAACGCTACGTGTTTAAAACGCGTTTTAAACACAAAAAAGCTAACTATGAATGAAAGAGGTGCTCAACAGGGCCGTAGATGAGGGTGTGCAAGAAGTGCTACCGCACAAGACCTCTCGACTCAGAAGGCCCATCATTTTAAATAGTCTACATAATATACAAAATCCTTATTTAATTCATTAAAGATTCCTATCTTAATATTTTTTAAAATTAAAATATTGAATAGTGATATTTATATGTAATTAGAATGCAATTGTTGATTACAATTGTGCAATTTCTTTATTACAGTAAAGCCCTCGTACAGTTTGGGATGAATTTGAATACTACTTTCTCTTTCATACTTTATCATTAGTTTACTCATCTTAATATATTCTTTTTCCTACTTTTTTTAATTTACTTTACACCTCTATGTTACCCCTACTATTTTCTTCTTAAAAACTATAAGAACCCTAAAGAGACTACGGAGTATTATTTAAAAACAATGAGAGTACTAATATTGTGTTTTATAATTCGGGGCCTCATATTCAATTTTGAACGGGGCCTTTTATATATCAGGGCCGGCCCTGGTGCTCAATACCGAGATACGAGTATTACATACTCATTACATATCTTGTATTGATTCTTACACACATCTCCATTGGGTTGAATGAGTTAATAAATTCTATCAACATGAATTGTTAATAGGAAGAGGTTGCTCAATGCTACTCCATTTCTATAAAAAAAGAAGTCATTTATTTGTCATCTATCTTAAACAGATTATTCATCTTTGTTGAAGAATTATGAGCATCTTAGTCTCATTTTCTTGGGAAGATTAGAGAGTGATAAGTACACAAGTTTGAACTCCTAAACTTACATTACTTGGGTATTCATCACGTTTGAATATGGGGTCATCTTTAGGTTTATTAAAATAGAAGGGTAAATTTGGAATAATAGTCATATTTTGTATGTAAAGTTATAGTTACTCCTACTTCCCGAATTTAACCAATACGGAGTATTTTACTCCCGTTTAGAGCAATACATATATTTCTTGTAATGATTTTTACATTAGGATACTAGTAACTTAGTAAGTCACTTATAGGCTCCAAGTCAATTTTGACTCATACCTAATAGCTTATACTCTTCACGACTTCACGTCCCAATATTAAGTTCCTCCGGTCCTTAATTAACTTTAAACTTTACATTTCCTTATTTGCCTTATTTGGCAAACAAATCTACACCAAACAGTGCAAAATAATGTCAAACAATGTCAAACAGTGTATTCTACAGTAAAGTCAAATTTATTTACTTAATATGTGTGAAATCAAAGTGTAAAGTTTAATAAGGACCGGAGTATGTTTTATACTTTTTATGTAGATGAAGAAACTGACAATTTTATACGTAGTAATTGAAAGTTGTGCAATTGTGCAAAGAAGATAAAAATAATATGAATTCCGAATTCTTTGCATTAAAAGGAATAGCTTTTGATTATAAAAAAATATATTAATTCTTGTTTTCAAATATATTAATTAGGTCAACCAACCATTAAAAAGCAGGTTCAAAGAATTAATAGGTGATACTGTAATAGTACTCCTCCCATGTCCATAACTTTTCTTCACTTTCCTTGGTCGGGTTTATTATAAAAGTGAAGTCTACATAGCTGAAAAAATGAGACAAACAACTTCCATTCGCACAAATTTTTCTTAAAGAAATTAGATTTTGTTGGATATATCAAAATGAAAAGTGAAAAAGATCATTGAATAATTAAATAAAATACTACATAATTGTTTACCTAAACAGTTGACATGTCAAAACACAAAAGTAGCCTAAATGTAGGTATGTAAAAAGTAATACTCCGTCCAATTTGATAGTCTCATTTTTTTTTTGAGCACAAGTTTTAATAAAGTGTTTGAAAAAGTAAAAGTTGTGATTGAGATTTGAGTATAATAAAGTGAAATGATATGAACCATATATTTTTTTCTAAAAAGGGAAACATGATCATCATTTTGGAACATCAAAAAAAATACAGGACTATGTATGTAGGTATGTAAATCCTTCATTACATTATCACTGTAGCACATCCCGGCCTTTCAATTTTCAAACTTTAATTTCAATAAACAATTGTTCAAATAGAACAATATCATGAACGAATATTTTGGGGTTTGTGGGGGATATATGTGGCAAATAATTATCTTTTCCCAAAAGTTCATCTTTAAGATGAAGCATCATGACTTAATTAAGTGGCCCAAAGAATATTAATATTGAGCTCACTACTTTTCAAAAATCTATTTTCCGTCACTATACTTCTTTTCAATTTTTATTTGTCATCTCCCTAGAATTATGCTTCTTTTCCTCTTTTATAAGTCAATATTAACCATATTAAAAATTCTTTATTAACATTAAAACAAATGGCAACGTGATTTAGATGAGTGGGTAAAAAGAAATGTATTTCGTATATAGGATAAGTTCACAT